ATAACGGTGACCAGCATGCACCCCAGTTTTTAAAGGGTTAATTAACCCAGAGTAGGCTGTTGTGTCACGTGACCTGGCCTACCAGAGAGCTCTGCAGAGCCTGTCTTGGCTCCTGCAGGCATGTACACAAAGGCAGACAGATCCACAAACTAATGCATATCCTTCTCATGCTAGCCAGAAAAAAGAAGACAACAGTGGTTGATGTGCAACATTTCTGCAATTCTAGTGTAAATAATTCTAATGCAATAAGGATGCAGTGTCTCCCTCGCACAACCGGAAACCAGCTTGTGCTGGACACTGACTTGTCCCATTTTAGAAGAGCGAATTCAAGCTAATACATGAGCTTGGGTTAGGAAGCACTTGTCCACCACTGTATTAGTGTTCATTTCCACTAGTGCCAGGTGCTTAGACCTGATGGAGTGCCAACTGTGGATACTCCCCACTATTTATATGGTAAGCTTAAAGCCATATAGACAAAGAATGGAGAATTATGTTTGTTGCAGCATGTACCCCTGCAAAAGGTTGTGATATGCTGTCTGATTTTTAGGAATGTTAATAACCATGCCAGACAAATCTGCCTGGGGGTGCGGGTGGTCCAAACATCTTCCAAACTTCTTGAAGTATGGGTCAATTCTGAAATAAATCTGGATTGAGCTGGAGAGGTTTTCAGGCTCTGTGCAGTAATAGTAAAGTAATGGTAAGAGTATAATAATATCTGTGTATTATCAGAATCTAATGTGTACCCAACCCAACACAGGTGGGAGAGGTCTGTTCATTCTTAGTATTTCTCTAGTCTAATTGACCAGTGAATCACTGGAATAGAGATAGCCCACACCATGATGACATAGATTCTCAGCATTTCAATTAATGTACTGGAAAGCCCTTTTAGAAGCAAAGACTCTATTTTGGTTACCATATTGCTAAAGAAGGCAAGGATCATGATCCAATTAAACCCACTTCTATGTATTACTTTTAGGGCACAATCCTATGCATGTTTACTCAGAATTAAGCCCTACTCCATGTATGCTGAGATAAGGATTGCAACTTTTGAGTTGGAGCCAATATCTGCTTTCCACAAGAGGATAGATATCTTGTGGTATCCTGTGGAATAACTATCTTAAGGCATGCATAAGGTGCCATCATCTTCGGTTTCTTGGCTCCCCACCACCACACACCACTGTTCATTGCTTTCGACAAGCTCACTTCACCTTCAATAGCATTTTCTGGGGACTCCTGTTGAATGGAGCAAGGAAGAAATCTGCTTCTGCTGGTGCAAATTAGTTCTGCCTAAATCTGGATGAAACCATATATTATCAAAACTGATCAGATGTTGCTCGGTAAATGCCATTCTATTTTCTTAGATCCTGACAGCAAGGACTAAAAATGCTTTGGGAGCCATTTTCCATGTTCAAAATTGTGTTTGCAAAATACTGTGCTAGTCTTTCCTGACATTCTGGAGTAATGCCACTCTTAAGCATCCGTTTTAAATGGATCGTTCTCAGATGCTTACAGTGCACCCTTGGCATGCTGTGCTGCAGCACCTTTCTCTCTCCCTGAGCACCCATCCATTGGCATCGGGGCAGTGGCTGAAGTGCTAGGAGGTAGGAAGTGCTAAACGTAAATAGGTAGGATGAAGAGGGTTCTGATAAAAACTGGATGTTATAATTTCAAAATGGAGAAAACCTTTATTGCTTGCTTCTTTGTCTGTTTCTCCTTCCCACTTTCACGTGGGGGAGTCCACAGTGCAGCCAAACTCCTTCTCTCTCCCTGGCAGAGCATGCAGGCTCCTCTCACTCCCCATCTTAAGAATGGACCCAGCTGCAAGCTCCCAGCTTTGAGCATCAGCTAGTCCCCATGCCCACCACCCTACACAGCTCCCATTGAAGCCACTTTGTTTAACATTTGCTTAGTGAAGATGCTGCAGAACTTGAAAATCTGCATGCTATTTTTGCCTGGACCTAAGGAAGAAATTGCCCTGGTGCAGATTCCTGAATAATTGCAGGGCTTTGTGTGTAGCTGCTTCACATTTCTGTATTCTGTTCTAGAAGCAATTGACTATTCTATATCTCCCCCTGCTTCTCCTTTTAATGGAGGAGATGTATGTAGGGCGTGCACCTTCCCTGGGTACTCCTCTATGCACTGGAGAGCCTAATTCTGTCTCTACAACCTTGAATATGGAGCTTATTCTCTCCTGCCAGCTTCCAGATGATTTTCATTGCATGACATTCTTCTCTGGTCCTTCCTTGCTACTATAGTGTAGAAAGCATTATTCTCAATCTGAATTAATAGAGGCACAGCTAATATTTGAAACTCTAGCATGAAATGACATTTTTATTTCCTTTTGCATCCAAGTGCAAATCCCATACACACACCATATAGATTCTTGTTAGCACTTTAAATTGCGACCAATAAAATATGCCATTTCTCAAAGTCAGAAACCTCATGCTCTGGCTTAAATGTCGTACTACCAAATGCATGGACTTTCCACATTATGTAAAAGGTTGTTCTGCTCTGTTCTGTCTTGTTTAGAGTGGGGCGTATTCAAGTGTCATGCTGCACATGGCTACCGACTGCCACTGTTGCTGCATACGCCCCTGCAAAGGTTGAAATCGGGAATGCTGGTCAGTGGTGATGCCTGCCATGATTAGACTTAATGATGAATGGAACCAGATGCATATTTCCCATCAACCCCTATTCTGATGGCTTGGGGGTGAAGCTGGGGCATACTTGGCTGCGTACTAAGATGGCCCCATCACAGATAATCTACCTGGAACCATCTGCTCCCTCCCAAGCCAAGGGAGCAGGTCCATTCCCTACCATCACCACCACAATCACCACCAGCAGCTTGCATTTTAATAGCATTTCAAATGGCACCAAGTGCCCCCTCCCTGAAAGAGACTAGACATGGGCACTAAACCGTGGTGTGTTTTTTTCTTTTTTCTTTTCTTAACACTGAGATGGAACTAGATCTTTGCCTACTGCATTCAAGTGCTACAAGCCCTCACCACAAAGGCTGATTGAAATCTACCAGCGTATTCATAAAGGATCGTTTTTTTAAAAAATTGGGATATTGTTCCTGTGATAACATGAAAGCAAATATTATCACAGTAAGTGAATAAAGGATTACTTGCTTTGTTACATATTACTTTCAAAATTGTATTCAGAATCCTCAGTGCAGGACAATCCTTTGTTTTCTTGTGATTCCATCTGCCGAATAATCAGCTAAACAATACTGAAAAGTTTCAAGATAATCATCACCAAATTCCATATCATTAAACCAACAATTTCATTCTATGTGTATTGTAGACACACGTACTGGATAGAAAGGGAAAGAACTATAGCTGGTTAGATGAGAGGAATGACAGAGATCATTTTCACCAGTTCCCCATTCTCCATAGTCCCCATTCCCTTGTATCCCCCAACGACAGCTACTACACTACTCTGGAGCATCACCAGCACCTCTGGAGCAGAAGCGGGATGCTTGGGCAGACAAATAAACTGGTAGCAGTAGCTTCTGCCCATTCTTTTCCAGCAAGAGTCTGATGAGATCCACTCAAAAGAACTCTGCATCCAAGCCACTGTCTCCCCAAAGCATTGGAAATTACTCAAGGAAAAATAAAAAACCCACAGCTTTGGAAGCATGTTCAGCTCTCTGCCACTTCCACAAATAGCCCTTTTTTCAGATCGCAGCAATGATCTTAAGCCTCTGGAAGTTCATACGATCTTGGAATTCGGACAACAAATTTTAAATGTCATTCACATGGAGTTTGTACAAAGCGGCATTTCAAAAACTAATAACATCACCAGGTCAAAACTGTTTGCAACAACATTTAGGCAGCAATTTTATATGAATTTACTAGGAATAAGTCCTGTTGACCTTAGTATGGATTATTGTAAATAAATATTAAAGGATTGTCATATTAGTTAGTCTTGGATGCATCATATATGCCCACCAGAACATCTATTTGCACAAACCAAAAGAGATGCTCCTGAGTATCATGTGGCCATCACATGTAACTTTTGCTGCAATGTGAAAAACTACAGATATAAGCAGAAATCAGGATCGTTTCCAGCATAAATTGTAGCAAATCTCTGCAAGCTCCTTCTGGATACCACAGTAAAATTTATCAGTATGTTATTTATACAAAAAATACCTTTTCTGTCCTATGAATGCTGAGGTCTAAAACGCTTTATAATGAACATTGGCGAGAGTATTTTGCATCACATGCTAATAACATCTTTAGCAGCTTTGGGTGTTCATGATATACCTTGATGCAGGAAGCGCAATTTGCTTCTATTGGCATAGTTGGAAAAGCATGAACCTACTTTTATTTTGCCAATCTTTTATCAGTAGTAATATCATCACCTTTATTTTTTCATATTATAAGGATGGTGTGAAACCAAAAATGCCAATTTTGGCTTTTGGCAGTCCAAACTTAGTTCATCTAAACAGGTGCTCTTTAAAACAATTTATCCCACTTCTATCAAATGGATTAAGCTCCCAGTTGCAAACAGGATTGTATGCCCCGTAGGACCTATTCCCACATTAATATGCTTATGATTATTCTTTCCATTTTCAACCTGAGTTTAATCCGGGATGAAGGTGGCAATCTTGGTTAATGAAAATATTCTGCTCTTTAATGTTCTGATACAGCATTTGTGATGGAAAACCAGAATTTCACTGGCATTGGCATATGCATACATATATTTCACTGGCATTGTATATGCACACAATAAGTAAGTTCTATTATGTTCAGAACTGAAAGAGAATGAAGGAAACACATTTATTTAGCTTTGGATAGTGTCATTTTTCTATATGTTGAGAAGCATTTAAATGGCAAGAGGTTTTGGAAACTCCTAATGGGATGATTCAGCTCTTCTGTGTTGTCTATTGATTTTATTTCTTATAAGTTTATAGTAGATTAAGATACATGTAAAAATAAACATTCATTTAATCATTTGTGTTCTAAAGGCCAATTCAGAAATACAACAGTGCGTACCTCCTAATCCTGGTCTCAGGCGGTTATCGTAACCATCGAGTAAACGGTCCAGGATTCGAGTGAATATTGTTGTGTTGTCCTTAATTTCATCTTGTAAGGAAGTTTGTCCATAGCTGAAAAAAACAGTGCTGTTAACATTATGAACCATTAATCCACCAACAAACCTACAGAATCATAATTCTGAAATCTGCTTAATCTTGCTTATGCTGATTTGTAGATGCAAAATCTCTTCCATCAAGCCAGATTATGGCAGCATTATAAGATCTTTTCTCCTACATATTTCCTTTTTAAGGTATATACATTCATTGAAAAGCTCAGAAATGGATAATAAGATAGAATTGAGGCCATTATTGTTTACCCCATCAATCAGATTTGCAATATTTCTGCTTTCCAAACTGAGGGTCTGCTGATAGCAAGACAGTGAATTTCCCTTATGCACCCTCCAAAAACACTTTGCTATAGAGTGAAATGAAACATGAAATGCCTCTGTAAGTGATTTAGTAAATAAGGCAAAAGAAATCTAATGAGAAACATATCCATTGGAAATGCATACCACTGATTTCAAGTAAGGACATTCAAAATAGCAACCAAAGATATGGTCTCCATGCTGGATAGCTTTTGGCACCTCAATAAAAGGTATATTCATTTTTACTTTGTTATTTTGTAACTTCTGTTGTAAACTGCCCAGAGTTTTGGCTATGGGTGGTACAGAAAAATTATAATAAATAAATAAATACACAACCTACTTAAACTTTCTAAATACTAGTTAACCATTATTTACTATTTAATACTTTCTAAATATTATTGACTCTGTTGCTTTGAAAGAAAGCCCAGAAAGAAACCCCTGCAGTATTTCCTGTTGAGCAGGATTTTTTAAAAGAGATTTTCTACCTTTTTCTCACATGCATTCTGGTAGATAAATACATCTCTGTACCCAGCATACCTGGCTGCAGGTGGAATGGTACCACTCTAGCAATTCAAGTGCAATAATATGGTTTTCCAGTTTATGCAGCAATTCTTAGGATCAGGCCATTAAAATTAGTCTTGAATATCAACATAATTTCCAAAATGTCCGCTGAGAACCAGTGTGTTAGAATGGTTATACAGACCCCTTTATACCGCCATATGGTTTGTCGTGTGTGTGTGTTTGTGTATAAAAAAATATATTCTCGTAGCCAATGGTTTATGAGAATATATCCATGGCTATGAGCTACGCTTTGGCCCTTTCCTCAAACACCTGAAGTTCTTGTCATTAAGAAAGTGTTTCCCTTTCTTCCCTTTCAAGTACAAGTCATTCTGTTTTCTTCTAATCACCTATCATGGTTGTCTTGGAGCCAAATCTTGGAGTCCTTTTCCTGCCCTTTAACAAGGAAAGTTCCTATTTGCAAAGTGGGATATCTGCCAGTGTAAACTCAGCAGGACTTAGCCCTTGAATCCCAAGATACTTTCCTTTCCATCACTTTGTCACCTGCATCGTTTCTGAATCAGCATTCTTGGGTATCTGATGTGATGTGATTAACAAACGCATTTCCCTTTGAAATACCTGTCAACCATATTTCTTCTTCAATGTTAGCAGGAAGAGTATTTCTTTCAGTTATACTTATTCTATCCAGTAACTATCACACTCAAGGAATGAGTTATGCAATACTAAAGTTATCACTGAAACAACAATCTATATAAGTTGTTTGCATAAAAGATGGGGAACAGCCAGTTCAACCTGTTTTATAGGTGAAAAAATGGCAATGGCATTTCAAATAGATTTATTTTCCTGAAAGAAAATCTCAAAACAGCAGCATTTCTTTTATGCGCGTAAATGCAATCATCACTCACATCTCTTCAACCTATTACATCGAAAGTCTGTAGAATGTGCTTATATAAGTGTATAGATGTGTGATAATTACAGTTAATTGATTTTCTCTTTCTAAAGGTGTACAACAATTCCTGTCATAACCACAACTTTGCAAATGGAAGGACAGTCACAGTGATTTTTAAACATCATAGAAGCTTTCCTGTTTCTTGGAAATGCAAAAGATGTTATGGAACAAGAGTGCTTATCTATATAATGTCTTAATCAGCATTTAAGGGCCACTTCCCACATGAAAATAAGGTGAGTCCCTGATGGGTCAGGCCACATCAACTGTGTCTTTCTGTAACATTTGAAAGTCATTTGCGTTCCAGCAAACAGACCCTAAACATGTCCTCAAGAGCCACGACTGGCGGAGCTTGCCATGTGATTTCAGACACACAAAAGCTTTTCAAATGTTTTAGACATGATGCAGTCAAACTCACACAGAAACACAGCAAAGACAGACTTTTCCTGAATACATGGATGGCACTCTGGACAGTAGCAATTTCCAGGTGTCTTGTGCTTTTGTACAAGGCTGTATTATCCATAAAAAGGAGGATTTCCAAAGTGTTTCTCTGATGCACATGCCATTACATTAAATGACAACACCATCCTTTGAAAACTAGACTGATTTTTATTAACTCTACTGCAGTGGAATATATCTCAGTTTGAAGGTGGGTTACAACTATGAGCACAATCCAGAACAAATGCACTTGTAAATGTATGTATATGCTTGAGGAGAGAAGAGCAACATGATATACCAGTGCAAATACAAAGAAGACATACTTAATTATACGTTTTCCTGAATGTGATGTTTTTCATATGCCAGCTCAAATATCTGGCTGTTTTTCCAACTGAACACTCTGCCAAGTAGCCATGACCTTCTCCATGAAAGCATATAATATTAACATCAGCACTTTTACCCCGTAACAACACATTGGAAGTGTAAAACTACCAATGTTTTATCATTTCAATTTATCTCTGGGACAAGTAACCAGCCTCCACAAAACAAAAGCATCTAAGTAGCATTATGAATACTACTGTAAACAGAAACCATACATTCCATTCCATTCTGTATTTTTGATCTGTTGGTCGTAAGAGGAGCTCAAACAAGGATGTGCAAACATTTTATCTGTGAAATGATGGCTTTTCAACATGTACTTTCAACATCTTAAGGGAAAAGTCAATTGACCATGTTTGTGGTTTTACGCTAAACAACTGTATAATAAAACACTGTGCACTAACTCCATCTACAGGTCATTATAATAGTGACACCTAATATAATTTTTCAAAAGCCAGAAAATGCTTCTTGATTTGCACTTCCAAATCCACAATTCCAGTCAAGCCTATATGTCAGTATATGGCAGTGAGGAGACAACAGAGTTGAAAAAGCTCCCCATGGATCAATCCCCACATTCTATTTATTTCTTTTCCTTTTCTTTAGGCATTAATGTAGCCTTCCATTCTATCATCGCTCATCAGCTACACAACTTAGTCACGCACATCTTTTGTTCATATGCCTGATTCTCCTGTCCTCCCAGAAGAAATGTTTACACTAAATTTGGTGATCCTCTGCCATTCCAATCATTCATACAAAAACATATTGTTATTTATGTATGTGTTTGATGTAAATATGATTGCTGAATAAAGGAAAGGGAATCAGGAGAGTTCAAGAGTCAAAAGATAGTTTTCAGAAAAAATGTTTGCCATAATGTGCATTTCAGATTAAAAATTATGTTTCCAATGGTACATTAATCCATTTGATTCATTATTGATAGATTGGCAGTATCTATGAATTGTCCCTCCACCATTCTGCATGCTTGAATCATACTTTGCATTTCAGTGATGTGGCCGCTAATACTTGTGGCCCTGGGTGGTATCCTCATCATGCATGTCCTCACGTGATCCACAATTATCTATTAACAGATGCAGTATATGGGCAGTGCTGTTCATGTTTTCAAATTCAATGCATTTTCACAGTCTGCCCTCATGAGTAAGCTCTGCTTTAATGATCAAGTATTTAACAAGCAATGATCCACCCTAGAGTCTGGGTCTCACTAATCTGAATGAATGCAGAAGATAAAATGAAGAAATTACCATATATTGCTAAAATAATGTTGTTGGGGGGGTTCTCCACCTTTTTCCTAGGCAGAATAAATTCTTGTAAAATTCTCCTGAAAGAGGACTATTTCTGACTGCATTTAAATCATTACTCTAAAATTATTGTGGATAGTCTTTGCTGAACTATTTCTGAACACCAATTGCACTAAAGATGTTATGCAAACAAACTGCAGTTTTATTTCAATCTTCTCGTATTTTGATTTAGCTGGGATTTGAGTGGGATTAACTTCCCCCAAATACAATTAGTAGTAGCCCAGCCCAGGCGCTGCTTGTTTCTTATTCTCTTGTTGTGAGCAATAACAAAAGAGTTCCAAACCGATATGTGCATGTGGTTTGGGGCGGTTGTGTGGTTGTTTGTTTGGTTTTTTTTTTAAAAAAAGCTCTTTTCCCACCTTCTTCCAGTTAGTGTGCTCATAAGGAGAATCCAGGCCCAAAGGCGGTCATAGAGAAGATGTGTCATCTTCATGGTAGATTATGGAAGCTGAAAATAAAATACAAACACAGGTAAGCATTGCTTGTTTAGAAAGACTGCTTGAAAATACAACAGGTCTGAAAGAGCTTCAGATGGTTTTGCTTGAAGTCCAACCAGTGGTGAACCATTCAAAGGAAAAGAAAATGGCCCCATCCATTTTGCACTTAATAACTTCCCTTTCTAGAGACTGGTGCTCCATAGAGAAATTTCCTCTAGTCAACTTCAGGCTTAAAGAGCCCTGACACCCAAATTAGTGCTCTCACAAAGTTCTCTCTTCACCCAAAGACCCTTTAAAGTATAGGGTTAGTAAATCCATTTCACAATAACAAATAAGGGAAGGGTTGTAAATATTATTTTAGTTTTAACGAGTGGGATTTGTCCTTTCACTGCCTCGGTCAGTGCCAAGGGAAAGAGTGGTCCCTAAAGTCCTGGACAGCTATTGGAGGTCCTGATGTGGAGAGAACTTTCTTGCTGAGAGATCTCTATGCCTCTCCTCTTGGTTGCCAAGCAATTTTGACAGCACTATAATATGGAAGAGTGTAACATTTACTGGTATAACATCCAGGTTTTCATTGTTGACCATACATATTGATGCTTCCATCAGTAAAGAACACACATTATAATCAAATCATGTGCTGAAGACTGCATGCATATTGTGCTTTCCCAAATTGCTAACCAATCTTCCCTTTTTATTGTTAGAAGAATAACCCCGTTACAAAAATCTCCACCTGCCTCCCCACATTATGACAGATCCCAGTCCAGTTTCAATTAATAACAAAGCAAAACCCTGCCCCACTTCTTCCTGCCCCCCATCCCACCTACAAACTTAGCCAATATTTCTGGAAGCAGCCTCAGCATGCAGTTGATCTATTTAGGCAGTGCCGCTGCTGACTTGCTCTGCCTAGTGCTGGAATCCACTTTACTTGCCTTGTTCTACAGAATTGCTGGTGCTGAGCCTGACTAGACTGTTGAAAGTGATTTCATGGAGAAGCACAATTTTAGATAACACACCACCATTGCAAAAATGCTATGGGGTGGTTGTGTTTGGAGTGTAAGCTTAAAGCTCAGCGCTCAGTAACACTGAGCAAAATTTAGAGGGGTGTCCATGTGCAAGAGCAATGGAAAAGCAGAGAGAGAATGAGAGAGAGATCCTCGTGATAGCAGGATGCACTGAGAGTTTCACTGCTTCCCCTGAAATGTTGCATCTCAAGTCTCAAGAAAAGAAAAGAAACAAGAAAAGAAAAGGCACAGTCTCCTTTTAGCCTTAACTTTCGTGCTATGCTGCCCCCACAATTTCCCACCCTGCACTTAAAACAAGCAAGCAAATAAATACATAGAAGTCACCAATTCATCATGACTGACTGTGGATGCAGCCTGTGGAAGGAACGGATAACAAACTGCAAAGAAACCAGAACGAGAGAGCACCAAGTGCAAAATCATCTCCTTCCAATTGCCTCCTCAGCCCTGCTTCCCCTCCATCCGCCACCATCATTTCAAATAGTTCAAACCGAGCGAGCAAAGCCGAGCAGAGATACCCGCACACGTCTTCCATGTTAGGCACATCCGCTAAAAGCCACAAGCAACATCACGATGCCTTTCTGGAGGACCAATTTTGCCTGGTTCTGAGCCTGAAATGGAGACTTTTTTCGGGGCGTGGGGGAGGGTTGCAGCCACTATCGCAACTTTGCATTCCTCCCTCTCCCTGGGAAAGTCATCCTCGGCACCACCAGCGCCGACACCCACCGCCCTCCTCTCCCCCTCCTCCCAAATGCATGCATGCATTATTACCGTGCCGCTGGCGGGTCCCGTCGCGCCCCCTCCCCTTTTCCTTATCAGTTGTCCATCGATCGCTGCGGATTTTCAACCTGGGGAGGGGGATGGGTGGGGAGGGGGTGCGGCGGGGGGTGGGGAGGACGGGGACGGGTAGATCCCTGCGATGCTGTGTGCCTGCTCCGGGAGAAGGCAGCGAAATGAAGCCCCTCCACCCAGAAAGGCTCTTCCCGTGGAAAGGAGGAGAGAGAGGAAAGCGAGCGGGAGAAGGCAGAGGGAGCGAGCGGCGCTGCCCGCAGATGCTCTAGTGGGAAAGAAAGCCCCCGTTACCTAGAGACCCTCCGGGCACGGCGTCGCCGCTGCTGCGCTGGGAAGTCTGCCCAAGAGAGTCGCCCGGGAAGCCGGCGCGGCGAGCAGGGCAAGGGCGCTTGGAGCGGCTGGGTGCTCGCCTCGCTCATTCACTCGCTCTCAGCCATCATGGACTCTGCCGCCGCCGCCGCCGCCGCTGTTGCTGTTGCTGCTGCTGCCGCTGCTGCTGCCGCCGCTGCTGTTGCTGCCGCCGCCGCCGCTTCGCTCTCCGGGTTTCAGCACCCAGATTTTCTGTTCCTGGGCTTCAGATCGCGACTCTACAACAACAACAACAACAAAAGCTCTGCTCTTTACCAAGACAGTAGTAGTACGTCCCGGGGTAAACCGGATGTGAAATAGGCTGTGACTTCATGCCAGAGAGATTTTATTTTAGAAAGGAAGGTGGTACCAAGCTCTCATCTCGAGACCAATCCGCCCATTTTTTGCTTTTTTTCTTTCTTTTGCTTCCTTTCTTTCTTTCTTTCTTTCTTTCTTTCTTTCTTTCTTTCTTTCTTCTTCTGTTAATAAGCAGCACAATTTAACTTCCAGTGCTCTCCCCCTAATCCCTTTCTCTTTGGCCGCACACTCAAATCCTTTCTACAATCTGCAGCAGGATGATGGTGATGATGATGATGGTGGTGATGATGATGATGATTTGGGATAGTCGAGGAAAGAGGGAGGGCGAATATACTTAGGACTAAAGAGGGGTGGGGAGAAGCTACACTTACAGTCTTCGGACAGATGCAATTGAATGCTGGTGCGGTAAAACAAAAACCAGAAAAGAAAAAACAACCCACCACCCACCCTTCCCAATCTGCCTTCCTTGTTATTCAATCTTTTGATCAAATATTCAGTCAGTTCATAAATATGAATGAGGGGGAACTAGGAAATGTTAAGGATGCTTCTCTCTCTCTCTCTCTCTCTCTCTCTCTCTCTCAAGCTCTCTCTGGTTTGTAGGTGCACATATTCTGTAGCCTCGGAGGGCTGGACATAAAATCTCGTGTAGCCAGAGCTGTGCTGTGCTGCTAACTGACACTTAAAGAGGAATCCACACAGAGCAGGAGACATCCCAGCCTGTTTTCCTCATACGCCTTGAGACACCCGTGATGGAGAGATGACATTTGTTTAAAGTGATCTTTGCAGAAGTGATGACAAGGAAAACCTGGGATTTGGAGAGGCTGGGTTAACATCATGCCATGTTCAGACCGTTCCGTGTGCATGTGTGTGTACATATGCCAGAACTGCTTCGGAGTGAATGATTTACCCACGTTTGCCAAATGGCACAGGAAAGCGATTCTTTAATATCACTTTGAATAAAAGTCCCTTTCCTGCCAAGCATCCTTTCAATGTCATTGTCTGTTCAAGGATGCATCTGTCACTGCCCAGTAGAATAATAACATCAGGTGGCCAATAAGACACAGCAATACCCTGCTAGATACAGAGTTTTCTCCCGGTGTATGCACACATTCCTATAGTTATATCACTCCCGTCCCCCAACCTCCATGCCACCGCTTCCCCCCACTACTCAGCTGTGGGATTTAGCTTCAGATTTTATGAATGGATGTGTTTCTAGAAGCAAAGTGCCTATAGCAGACGGGCAATGCAGACGGAAGATGTTGCTGAAGACTTTCAGACTGATGTGAGCTCTCCATGGTGCTGGAAAACCTAAATGGAAAGGAGTGCCGTCTGTAAGCAATGCAATTAGTAGTAAACGGAATGAGAAAGTCCTAACACTGAAAGTGCAGCAGCGGTTTTGCATACTGTATGAATCTGCTGCAGAAATGGGCATCAGAAATTCCTAAAAAAGAGAGAAGCGAAGCGAAGCAAAGCAAAACAAAGAAAAACCTGGCTTGCTGGGCTTTCCTTTGCTTGTGGTACCTTAACATAAAAGAGATGGCACCCTTAACCATTTGTATGGGAGGAAGTGGACAGGTAGTGATATACAGCAAAACTGAAATCCATATATGTGAGAGGACAAGAAAATAATACTGATTGCCCTTTAAAATCCGGGCTCCCTTTTGAAGCTCTGCTAATTTGAGGTCCCTGTTCATTCTCACTGCATTATATGTCAATGTCTTTGTTCACCTCTGCTAGAAAAATAAATGCCTAAATATGCATAAAATCCTTTCAAAAACCATTATGTTCTGAAAATATTGAAAGACGTTGCTGTTGCCGTTGCTGATGCTGATGTTTTGTATTTCCTCAGTCATTTCTGAAGACTTCTTATAAGGTTATCCAAGGAAGGAGGGACAGAAGGAATGACCGAGGTGACATGTTCTGGTACATTAGACTCATGGATAGGTTCTTCATTGGTCTTAGAATTAGTGAGTTTTGGGCCATCAGAAAGACATTGGAAATACATTAAGCAGAGATTCTACATGATGCCAGCAAATGCCACCTTGAGTGCAATGACCCACCTTGAGTGATGCTGCTGCTGCCTCCCTTTGTTTAAAAAAATCAAATGAAAGCATTAGAAAAGTAGCATCTACAAAACCAGCCAGGCCAATGCAACAAACACTCTGCTACAGCATCAGACTAATTTAGGGATATCACCCTCACATCCTTAATGCCTGTTCAGCTATCTCACACCCAGACTGGATGCAGACTGCTGAGCAGACCTCCTCACTTACTTGTCTGAAGTTCAGCTCAAGAGCAGAAACAGCAATTGCTGGCCAAGAAGAACCCAGGCAGGATCAGAGCCAGCCGCAAACCATTGATACCAGCCTTGGATTGAAATGATCTCTCGTAGGCTATCTAACTGGGCTGGCCACTTGACTCCTCCCAGCACAGGGAGATTACCAGTGTTATTTTTGTTGATAAGAATTGTTGATCCCACTCCTGAAACATGTCGAGCTCAATCCCATGTATGAGTATTCAGGAAAAGC